TTTTTTGGTATTTCTTGTACCCACTAAAGAGAATTATTAAATGACATATTACCTTGGAGATCATTTGTAGGAGAAAAAAAAAATACTTTTTTTAATGTTCCCATCCACTATTAATAGAAGAATAGTGTTTCTCAATAACTTGTAAGATCTTAAAAATATTTTATTTTGATACTTAAGGAAATGGTCTGTTCAAAACCACTAGTTGTTACTCTACATGGGAATATTTCAAACATAAATTATATATCTCTCCTTCTTCATTATGTAATTAAAATTCTGGATTGATTTTCTTATCACTCACATTCTCCTTTCAATTCTATTCTTGATTTTGCCTATGTGTTTACAAATAAGTGAATTAAATTAATTACTATAGTGAAGTTGCTTCAAAAATTAGGTTTTATTATGCTTGGAGGTCATTATCTAACCATTCAGTTGTTTCTTTTCTTAACATATTTTCCATCTTTTATTTCCCCTTAAATTATCTCACCTCCATTTTCTTCGCAGTAGTAATTTGTTGTTTTATTGCTTGTTTAATGTGTCTTTCTTTTCTCCTCCCACAGAAGCCTGCTTTGTTTCTCAACCTTTGTTTGTTTTACAATTCATCAAAAATATTGTTTCTTCTCTGTAAAGCTAAATTCAAATGACTAGAGGCCTCTTTTGTAGTCATCCTTTGAATTCTTTGATGAATGATAAAGGAATTTCACTCATCTGTGTTTATCCATAGCTCGGCAATTATACTACATCTTATACTTATGGAATGCTAGTCCTATCTAGGTGATTGCTCAACTTAATGTTTAGCAAATTTGTTTTTTTCAGCAAAACAGAACTATAATATAATGACTTACTAAAATTAAAGCTTTATTTGTTCTGTTCATGAAACACAGTCTAACAAATTTAATGGGACAGATCAGTTTTTGTGTTCCTGATAATCATTTAATAAATCAATGATTCTTTCAGCATTTGTCTTGTAATTTTTCAAACATTTCATTATTTTTGCGTGGAACAAGAGAAAGAATGTTGATAACAGGTGGATACGTTGCAATAGATTATAACTTGCCATAGCTCTATGTTTGAGGTTGACTGGTTTATCAAATACAAACACTGGTAGTGAGGAGTTTGCGTTGCATATTAGCATAAAAATGAGAATCTGTTAAGTGTAAAGTGGTGGTATTAAAGGATGTTTACAAGGTTGAAACAATGACAAAAGCAAGATTTTTATTGGTACAAAAGATTGTAAATAGGCACAGGAGATTTTAATTATGATGAATGAAATTCATTCCTTCAGTCATCCATCTATCCATGCCTATTATTTACTAAGCACTGCACTACATGCTGTAAAAGGTCAGTCAGTAAAACATAGTTTAGTTGAAATGTTAAAGTTGAAAATCAAGATATTTAAATAGAAAATAATGTATAAGACGTTGGGTAAAGAATTTAGTTTAGACATGAAAAATGGCTTCATTTTAAAGCTTCTGGTATGATTGTGTCACTGTTTTGCTTAAAAAGAAAACAGAATGCATAGAATTAGTAGAGGGAGCTCTGGTGGTGTACTACCTAAGGCATTTGACTGCTAACCAGAAGGCTGGTGGTTCAAACCCACCACCACTTCTCAGAAGGAAGATTGGGCAATCTACTGCAGAGATACTGCCTCAGAAACCCAAGGTGGGGTCGCTGTGAGTCGGAAGCTACTGGATGGCAGTTATTATTTATTTATTTATTTATTGGTTTACAAAGAGGCCAAACCCAGTAATAATTGCTGATGGAATATGAAGTCTTCGTTAAAACTAAAAAACAAAACCTCTGTGATTGTGGTTAAAAAGTTCTAATATCCCTGAATCCAAGAAACATTTGTGGCAAATACCACAGCAAAGAAGATATTCATCTATTTGTTTAACACCAACTGTTGATGTATACTTCATTCACAGAGTCAAATGCCTGCTCAGCTTTTTTGTTTTGCTTTTGTTTTTCCAGAAATTCTGATGCTTTTAGGGAATTCTACATAAAGCAAAGGAGCAGTTCTACACATTTTGACCCCTAGTGTGAGTTCTACAAACTATTTTTTGACCTAAAATAGTATTAGAGAAGATTATCGAATGACTTATTTACAAAATGTTGCTCTGGGTGCAGAGGATGAATATTTGTCACTATTAACGATATTCAAAGGAGGTGATATAACTCAGAACCCCAAAATTCTAAAATGTTATATCTAAATGTGTTTTGAGCAATGGTATAAAGCAAAAGTTAAAATCTTTTCCAATGGATAAAGACAGTATAAATAGTTTAGGAGCATATGACCTGATATATTTTATCGAAAGTACACTATTATAGTGAAATTTCATGTAAATCCAAATTATGTACACCTAGAAGAAACAGTTTTAATTTTTTTTTTTTT